AATAAGGTCTGTCAATATAAGGGATTATGATTCCTTGATAGGTAAGAGTTTGCTAACTATCCTTTATACATTATATCTTATAAACTTATAAGTTTGTATGTAACTAAAATATAGCTGGTAAGGATATGGATGTACAAGTATGGAAAGCTACTCTAGAAGTGGTAAAATCATTATCGGATTTACTTTTGAGATGTTTACCCGATTTTTGGAAATTAAGCAAATCTTTTATGGAAGGAAAATTTCAAAAGGTAAAAAATTTTCATAAACTTGATTTTACTTTATTCAGATTGAAAATCTTATACATTCAATTTATAGAGTCCGGCAATTCTTAGTGCTAACAGACGCAGACGCCAAGCCATGGATCTTAGAAAAGTAGAGCAATGCCAAAATATGGCCAAAGGTGTAATTGATCTTTACGCATCATTGTTATCAGAGTTCTTTTCCCTTTCATCATCTACAACCTCGTCGTTCGTTCCGTTACAATCTGATTCCGTTACCACCTGCTATTTTTTGACAAAAATCCTTAATGGAATGAGTGAATGTGTAAACGATATTCATTCGATTAATATGGCATCGGATGTTTCTTATGCATTGCAAGCATTAATGGATCAAACTAGATGGAAATTTGTAGAAATAATATGTGAAGCATGGAACGCTGGTATAAATAAGTTCATTATTCTGATCTGGTCATTTGTAAATTCAAAAGCTGACAATCTAATCATGTTTATTTACAGATGCTAAGATATTCTATTTACTTGAGGATTGGTCTCTTGACCAGGATAACCGTGAGATTACTAACTTTTTGAGAAATTTTCATATATTCCACAAGTATAATTCCCGTAGCGCATACAAAATAGCAAGCTTGGGTTACGTGTCGGGCGATGATGATAATGTATGTAGAATTGTTGCTTTCATCAGAAAATTTTGAACCCCGATTAAAATTAATGATTTTTATCGATTATAATCGATATAATTTAAAACTAATCGATTACAATCGATTATATATATATATTATAATTGATTTGATTAACAACATCCATATCAATAGCAATCGATTAAAATTTTATCGATTATAATCGATTAACTGTTTGCAATCAATTATAATCAGGTTTTGAATTTTTCTAATGTTGACATCATAATCTGTTTACATCCATCTAACTATGTATAATATAATTTTTATATTATTTAAGAAATCATCTAGGATTTCTGATGCATATTTACAAAAAATTAAAGGAGCATTTCTTGACTCTTTGTATGCTTATTTGGATGGCTTAGTACATTTAGTGTTTTCGGATTATACGCCACTTGAATCATGCGATAAAGAACCTACTGAAATGATTCAAAAATTTAGGATTGACCCGAAACAAATAGTAAATGATCATTATATTTTATAAAATATATGTTAAATAAAGTTGGTTACTTGACTAATTTACTAATTATTTTTATTTTTATATTTAATAGGACTCGAGGATTTTACTTACTATTAGTAATCTTGTAAATCTAAAACAGCTTATGATTCCCAGAATTGTATCTCAATTTGAGACAGCATATCATTGTAGTCTTTCTGATGATACTCAGGTATGAATTTCTTGAAAGTTTGGACAATGATACTTCAATTCGAATTTATTTTAATTTATTGCGAATTTATAACTATTCAAATGCAGACACTTAATGATGTTATAAATCAGCTTGATGGAATATTGTTTGAAGATTACCTAAAACGAAGAACTCAGATAATCAGAAATATTGTTGTTAATGGTATATTGTCAGGAAACGTAGATTGGTATAACATATCGAAACCTACAGGTGGTAAATAAATAACTATTACTAAGCGATGTAACATTTTTAGATTAACAAGCTATTTCAATTTTATTCAGAGGTACATTCTTTTGTGTACGAGGCTTTATTATCACTTGTCATAGTTCATGCTCAAGTCAACGATGTTGCCAAACATCTGGTTAATCGTACATTAACAGCGTTGTTAGAACATATGGCACGAGATTGTCTTGAAGCTTTTCAAAAAGTAGAGAAATTCGGTATGGGTGGTATGCTTCAGGTAATGTCAACATTTGTTAGCTCACATTAACTTAGATTATGATTAAAGTTTTGGAATTTTTTTTTTTTTTATGATAGGCGGTATTGAGTGTATATTAGTGTTGTTAAATAAGATGTGTGTGAATTCACTGTCTTTTTTTTGATTTATAGTT